CGTCCCGAAACTGATATGCACGCCAGAAAATGTCTAAATCTTACAAATAATACCCGGGCTCTGCTTTAACTTTCTTTCCAATTATTTCGAGAAACTCACCCAATTCGCTCTGCTTCTCGCTCGCCTGCTTCAATCTCCGTATTTCCCCCCCTTTTCGTGGAATGCGCTCCGCCTTCGTGCCGTTGTTCAGGCGGCAGAGATGGGACGTACCAATTACAAAAAGGGGGAGAAAGAAGGAGGCGAGCATATGATCCGCTCTACTCCCCTCCACCGTGGAGAAGGCAGGAAGGCAGGACCGGAGGTGACATCACGAACCCGAACAGTTGCCATAGGAACAAAAAACCATAGAGGCGTCCATGTGCTATTTTTTTTCCCCCCGATAGGCCATTTGCAAGCCGATTGCTTTCCTGGGAAACTACAGTTCCCAGAATTCCTAGCCAGGCGCTATGCCAATCCTTCTGATTTCGATACTGAAGCCACAGAAGTCATCAACGACTTTTAAAGTATTTTAGACAATCATGTTACAATCAGGCAAATGTTGCCAGATGTTTTACACTACATCTCCCAGTCTTTTGCCATTCTGCACTGCAAATCTATTTTGATTAGCCAATTTCTGTAGTTAGGTTGAGCAAATGCCCGCCTAATAAAGTGGCCCAAATTAAAATTCTTTAAAATAATTTTTTTCTTATGCAAGTCAGCATCACATTCACCCTAGTGAAAACTTGCTTTATGACTAGCAAATTGCCAATTGCATTAGAATAAAATAGGTCTAGGACTAAGAGTAGAGTAGAATAAAAGAGTTGGGACCAATCCATTTGGGCACACTCAGCCTTTGAGTGGACTAGAGACCCTTTTAGGATTCTCCCCCCCCCCAAAAAAACATTGCATTTTTTCAAAATCTTCCCCTTCAATCATTTCAATATCTCCTAGAACGAATGTGTTTGAGAAACTGGGTTAGAGTGTTACCTATATTAATAAATAGAAAAGCCCTATTCAAACCTTGCCTTCTCATCCATTTTATGCATACAAATAGTCCTCCACTTACAACAACTGAGTTCTAAATTTCCATTGCTAAGTGAGACAATTAAGCAAGTTTTGTCCTATTTTTAATGATCTTTCTTCCCAGTTAAGTGAATCACCAGTTGTTTGAGTTAGTCATATTTCACCTGCGTCTCTCCAAATCACATTTTTAATTCCTGCCTCTGCAAAACTGGCCCAAGAACGACACAAGATCGCCTCGCTTTTATTTATTTTTTAATTTAAATAAGGATAATTCTTTCATATGGAAAGAGCTAATACAATCACATATTTGAAAGGAGAAACCATACAAACTGGGGGAGAAAAAACAAAAACGAAATGAAAACGAACCAACGAAAAAGAAACAACCCCACAAAGGATGAGAGAGAACGGTCTTTTAACGTGTTGCGTGTCTGCAAATTTATTCACTGTTTGCCCTTTCAAATATCTGCTCTACATGAAAAGACAAACAACATGAGAAGCCCCCCCAAAACAAAACAAACAAACAAAAAAGATTTTACTGTACAGGTTTGCAAGATTAAAACATGAACAGGTACGATACCATCTTTAAAAAAAAAAAAGAATGTGATTTATACAGGACGAGAGAAGAAATTTTGCTATGAACAACATCTTATTCAGCTGCTTTTGATCATCCTTGACCGACTTTAAGCAGTTCAGCCTTGTGTCAATGACCAAGTATGTGTTAGCGCTTACGATGCCCACAATTTTCAGTCTGACATCTCTGGCGAAAAATGCTCATAAAAGCCACAGGACAAATTAAAGCAAAGCACTTTTGAATCTGGCTTAGCCATTTCAGCTTCCCATCGGATGAAGATTAAAAAAAAAAAAATCTGCCTCCCACATTTTGAAGTGACATGGAAAGAGAATTTTTATATCACACCGAAAGTTAAAGGACACAAAGAAAGAAAGAAAAATTAAATGGCATGCAAGAAAGATCTTGTGGCTAACAATAACTTTAAGCTGATGGTTTTTTCCATCTATAACCCTCTGAAGAAAAATAAAAAAAGCCAGCAAAATGGAGGGTCTTTTTGCAGAAGGGAAAAAGATCAATGTTAACGAAGATCTACAAAGACAAATGTGTGTCAGTTCACCTTTAAAACTTTAGCCACCCTTTTCCCTTTCACATCCAACCCTTCAACTTCAGTTTTTAACAGGGAAAAAAAATTAAGTCCAGCCTTGAAATGCGATAAGAGGACGCAGCGAAAGGCAGAATTAAAATTCTGTTTAAATGCATCTGCAGCTGAAATCGGCGCTTTAAAACCACACTGGCATTGGCCACTTCGAAAAAATAATTAAAAAGAAGCGCTTAGCTTGTTACTGATTTATAAATGGACTGCTGTCTTTCGTTCTCTTTTCCCCCAAAAAAACTTTGTGTGCAGAGCTGAATTTGACAGGCGCAATCTTGAGAAGCGATGTGATCTCCTTTTTTTTTGGTGGGAGGGGAAAAAAGCAGCACAGCCCTTTCGGCATTGACAAGGTTCACGCAGGAGAAAACTGCTTGTGCAGGATTCTTCCCCCTTCTTCTCATTGACACGTCGGTCGGGCACAAAATCACAACATGCTGCATTCAGAAATAAGGTCCGAAAACTTTTTGCTTGCATCTCAAGATTCACACGTACTCCTTCACCGAAACACACACACACACACACACACACACAAATCTGTGGAGTTTGTAGTGAAGGAAACAGAGATGGATTTAATTTTCTTTCAGGAGGGTGACAATGTTGTGTGCTGCCGAGGTTTGGTTCCAGTAGACGGCAATAAAGCGAGAAGATTTAGCCCAAAGTAGGAAAAGCTTCAAAATTGAAAGCGATATTTGATAAATAGAAAAATCTACGGACTCTTTCTTGGCCTGGCTTGCGCAGAATAAATCCAGACATTATATAAATAGATCAGTGAAGTATTTAATTCTTTTCACCTACAACATCAAATACGTATAAATAAATTCTAGTGTTTTGTTTTGTTTTGTTTTTTCAAATTTTGCCGGAGTGGAAGAAAATGGCTAAAAGGCAGAACAAATTGATAATCTCTATCCTAAGAGTTGCAGTTCTGATTTAAATCCCCACCGGAAGATTTTACGATGCTCTTTTGCATCTAACAATCAATCTAGTTGCCTGACAACTGAAAGACAAAATGCCATAGATCGGCCAGACAAGAAAAATAATATAAAAATATAAACCATCCCAGGCGCAAAGCAGTTACGCCACTAAAGAACAGGATTGCAATCTGTTAATCTTTGCACAGAGGAAGGAAAAATTAAAGCGAAATAACATAAAAATAAAAAATCACTATGAACGCAAAGCAATGACGCCAGTGATGAACAAGATTGTAATTTGTTAATTTTTTTGCAGGGAGCTGGCTGGGCCAAATCAAAATGTGTTCAAGGCAGTTTGCGTTGAGAAATTCAGCAGTTTGCAGTATTTTTTTCAAGCAGAGGCATGGAAGGAAGCAAAAAAGGGAGCATTTTAGTGGGTAAAAAAACCAAGGTTAAAAAAAGACACAGAAATGTTGAAGGCAAATATCCAAGAATTACTAAATTCCAAAGGACTAAAACGACTACAAGCAGTAGAGAGTCCTGTCCCACCCCAAATTAAAATTCCGTTTAAAAAAACGCCCCCTCTCCCGAGCAACGTTTTTATTTTGTTTGAAAGCCCCTCAATTTTAAACCCCTGGATATGGTTAGGGAGGAATCTCAAATGTACGCCGACGAAGGGAAAGAGCTGATGAAGCCAAAGTATTGTAAAGCTCTTGCAGGGAAGAAAAAAAACAAAAAACAAATACTAAAGTCCATTTTGACAGCTAGTGGAATTCCAAATTCAAACTCGCCTCTTTTTGAGAGAATCTGAGTCCAAGGCTGCCTGCTTTTGAAGTGCATTCTGTTTTATTTTTTTTTCAAAATGTGGTCTTTGGGAACTGCCAACCAAGAGGCTAGTGGGACACCTTAGCCAAAACAGCAGATTGCAATTTTTAAAGTTGATCAAACTCTCAGCCATAGGGAGGGTCTCGTGTGTGGGTTTTGACCAAACCTGTCTAGACAGGAGGACATTTGGAAGAATGTTAAGCTTACCGAAGACTCCACCCTGCCCCAAAATGCAGAATTCCCCCTATTAATCTATTTTCCAACAATGATCATGCAAAACAGAAGGGTTTGTCATTTTTAGCTTTGTAAAGCATCAGGTTTGGAAGGGGAGAGAAGAAAAATGTCCAAAATTCCCTGCATGCTATGGTTTATTATTATTATTATTTTAAATTATCTTTGCAGGGATTTTTTTTTTTTAAAAAAACCCTCTATTTTTACCTACTCTGGGTTGTTACCAAGAGACACTTCCACCCTGCAGAACCTGATTGCTGAAACAGGAAGGGAGGGGTGAAAGTGAACTTAGAAAAAAAAAACAGAATTAGCTACAGCAAGAATACAGAGTAAGGATGAATTGAGAGAGGAGGGAGGGGAGAAGTAAAATGGGAAGGAAGGAAAGAGAAAGTAGCATTTTTTTCCCAATCATTTAGTTTGGTGTTTCTCAACCTGAGCAACTTTAAGATGTGTGGACTTCAACTCCCAGAATTCCCCGGCCAGCCTGCTTGAAGACGCGCAGACTTAAACTTCCAGAATTCATGCTGAAAAGCACGCTTTGGAAGAGAAGCACCCTGGAAATTGCAGCCCACCCCTCTTAAAGTGGCTAAGATTGAAAATCACAAAGCGTCTGAGAAACTTATATTTTCCCACACTCCTCGTCTCAAAACGTCACAAAAATAAATCACCTATAGAAATAAAAAAAAATGACTGCAATCTCCCTGGGACCGATCCGGTAAGATTGATGGTGGTCTCGCTCAAAATGACTGCAAAGCGTTGGAGGTCTGGGGGGGGGGGTGAGGTAAGAGGGGAAATAGCTGTTCTGATCTCTCTTCTGGGTTGGCTTATTTCAAAAGCTCGGGTCTTCAGAGTAGAAGGGAAGGAGAAGGGAAAACGTGTGGTTGAAAAGGCTTTCAGATAACAGAGCTGAAGATCCAGGCTTGATGGAACACCACTGTAGAATGTAAGACACGGATGTTACACGTAGGAAGATCTAGCTGAGAAGGAAGTCCATCCAAACACATGATTTTGGGGTTTGGCAGATATTTCCTTTGCAAGCGAGTAAATCAGAAGTAGGAAGAAGAAATCTAACGGAACATGAAGACAGTTCAGCTACAAAATGAAGGATACAGCATTCCTGGGGGTTGGGAGTAAAAACCCTGATGGGCTTAGAAAAAGGAGGAAGTTGTTAGGGTGAAGAGGAAGAGGAGTAGGAGGAAAGGGAAGAGAGAGAAGAAAGGAGGAGAGGAAGAGGAAAGAGGAGAGAAGAAAGAAAGAAAGAAAGAAAGAAAGAAAGAAAGAAAGAAAGAAAGAAAGAAAGAAAGAAAGAAAGAAAGAAAGAAAGAAAGTGGAAGAAGGAAGGAAGGAAGGAAGGAAGGAAGGAAGGAAGGGAACAGATAAGCTAGCATTTCCACTATGCAATGGGAAGAGCTTAACTCCTTAATGCTTTCTGCTATTTTCAGGTGGAGAAAACAAACAAACAAACCAAAAAAATGGCTGTAGCCACTCCAGAATCCAAGAATTCAATAGGGAACTTGGGATGGTTGCTGCTGAGTTTCGATGGAGCTGTGGTCGGTCTTCTTTTAAAAAGCAAGCAGGCCAAGGATGAAAAGAAAAAGAAAAAGGAAACAAAAAACCCACGGCGCAAGAAAACATCTCAGCGTAAAGCATCTTGGAGCATCCAGCCGCAGGGAGGCTGTCCAGGGGAAGGAGGTGGGTTGCAGAGCCTCTCTCTCCCCCCCTCTCTCTCATTCTCTTGAGCAGGAGGATTGGCAGGCAACCCTGGGGGGGGGGGGAGGTTCCAGGGCTCAGGCCTTGCTCTCCTCCACTTTGACCGCTTGAGGCTTGATGGCGCCTGTGCGGACGGGCTTCATCTGACCAGCTGACGGAGGCTCCTGCAGTTTCACGGCTCCCAGGCTTTTGTTCTCGTCCACTCGCTGTTTTGCCTGTCGGTGGAGGCAGAAAGAGGAAGGAAGGAGGAGGAGGAAGAGAAGCGGAAGGGAACAAGGAAGAGTAGAGTAGAGTAAGGGGAAGGGGGAAAGGGAAAGAGGAGGAAGAGAAGGGGAACAGAAAGGAAAGAAGGAAGAGTAGATTAGATTAGATTAGATTAGATTAGATTAGATTAGAGTAGAGTAGAGTAGGGGAAGGGAAGGGAAGAGAATGGAATGGAATGGATAGAGAATAGAGTAGAGTAGAGTAGAGGAGAGTAGAGTAGAGTAGAGCAGAGCAGAATAGGAGTAGTGTAGAGTGTAGAGTAGAGTAGAGTAGAGTAGAGCAGAGCAGAGCAGAATAGGAGTAGAGTAGAGTGTAGTGTAGAGTGTAGAGTAGAGTAGGGTAGGGGAAGGGGAAAGGAAGAGAAGAATAGGGGAAGGGAAGGGAAGGGAATGGAATGGAATGGAAGAGAAGAGAAGAGAAGAGAAGAGAAGAGAAGAGAAGAGAAGAGAAGAGAAGAGAAGAGAAGAGAAGAGAAGAGAAGAAGGAATGAAGGGAAGAAGAGAGAGAGAGAGAGGAAGAAAGACACCGTCAGGCCAAGATTATCTCGAGTTTCCTCCTCCTGTTCTCCCTGTTCCCAGGACTGACTTGCCATTCCTCTCCCGTTCCATTCCTTCCTTCCCCAAGGGAATCCATTTCTTTCCTAAGGTCATCTCCACAATCCTTCACAGAGCTTCAGAGAGTGCTGAGGGGTGGATGGAGAAGGACAGATTAAGTCCTGGACTTCTGCAACACCCAGGAGGTTCTCATTTCCCAGAATCCCCCAGGAGGTCAGGAGACTCGAGAGGACCAAGGCCGACCCACCCACCCACCCCCTCTCCTATGGTCATCGCCTCACTTCTCTGCCTCACTTTTCCTGGTGGGAAAGTCAGCTTACGAGGTTGTAACCACCTCGCAGGACCCATCTCCACTTTACCTGTTGAATGTAATGCCTTTGCACAGAGCTCATGCTGATGGCCGATCCGGAGGGCTTCCCGCTGGGGGTAGCAGAACCGGGCCTGGGAAAGGGGGACAGGGACGGCGGGAGTGGTCGGAGAGGAGAAACAACGCAACATAAACCATCATTTAAAGTCAAGAATGGATCCGGCTTGGTGTGAAAGCAGCCAGCCTGTCCAATAATCCTTAATTCTCTTGTGTTTCACTGGATCAATCCCGCCCTGCCTTTTTCTTCCTAATCAGATAAATCCAAGAATTGTTATTTCACCTGTAAGTATGAGAAGACGGGATGGACCCACCAGGGATGATGCTCTGCTTAGTGTCTGCGAAGGAGAATCCTTTGATTTCCATGTGAGAAGACTAGAAGACAACAACGAGGGGGGAAGCTGGAGTATTTTACTCGCAGGAAAGGGAGAAGTTAAAAGAGATATTTTGGGCTACATAGGGAGTCCTCGACTTACAATTTGTTTAACGACTGAAGTGAACAACGGCACTGGAAAACAAAGTGGCCGATGGGCAGCTTTCTCACAACCCTTGAAGCATCCCCAGGGTCACGTGATCAAACGTGGTTGTTAAGCGAGTTCCCCATTGACTTTACCAATCAGAAGGTCACAAAAAGGGGATTTATGTTACACACACACCCCGGGGACACTGTGAGACCATAAACACGAGCCAGTTGCCAAGCGTCCCAAATTTTGAACACGTGATCATGGGGAGGCTGTGAAGGTCGTAAGTGTGAAAAACGGCCACAGGGGTTGTTTTCCAGGGTTGTTATAACTTCAAATGGTCACTAAATGAATGTCAGCCAAGGACTGGCGTTGATCCCTTTAACAACTGCCAGTTGTAAAATCAGATCCGGTCCTGTGGGTGCTTTGACTTCCGCTCGTCAAATTCTCCACCGCGGTTGTAAGTCAAGGACTACCTCAAACCCAGAGACGGAGTCCCTACTTACCTCCCTGTTTGTAACCAGGGCAGATGGCTGGGAGTTGGGAGACAGGATCCTACGTGGGGCTCCAACTGGGAGATTCTGTCCTTGGGGCAGGTGCATGGACTGGGATAACACAAGAGGCTGTTGGCCAGATCCGTAACGGGCCATCGGAAGCTGGGATCCTGGAATTGACATGGTTAGCTGTGGATAGATAAGCAAGAAGGAGTCACTTGATTTGGGTCTTCTAATATATATTTCTTTCGATTCTTGAATTTGAAGGGAATCAAAACCAAGGGAAGCGTTAACACCGCTTTATGAAGCCTTGGTTAGACCACGCCGGGTTTACCGCATACCACATTACCAAAAAGGGACGTTGGAAAGGAGTGGAGAGGAGAGCAACGAAGATGATTAAAAGGACTGGAGACTGAAACCTATGAGGAACGGTGGCAAGGGTCCTGGGACCCCATCCTGACCTGCTGGAGCTGCGAGTCCATCATCTGCGATGCCTGGTTGAGCTGACCCTCGTAAACCAGAGCTTGGCTGCCGCCGACGGTTTGGTAGGGGGTGCCCGACTGTGTCTTCACCATCTCCAGGGGCTGCATTCCTGGGAAGGCGGAGTAGGGCGCCTTCAAGGCCGTGCCTCCCGTCAGGACCATGGTGCTGGGCTGGGATAAGCTGGGGTGCATGTAGACCTGAGACCTTGTGGAGAGAAAAGCAGCATATAAGGAAGGAAAGAAGAAAGGAAGGAAGGAAGGAAGGAAGGAAGGAAGGAAGGAAGGAAGGAAGGAAGGAAGGAAGGAAGGAAGGAAGGAAGGAAGGAGAACCTCCACTATCTGTTTCATCTTGACAATTATTCTACTAGTGCAGGAGTGGGAATGGTGACATCAGTCAGTGGTGAAGCCACTGAGTAAGGACTCATCCTGTTACCTAAAGGGAGGGATGGAGCTGTAGATCTCCTGGGACTGTGAAACTGGAAGGCCGCCCCTCAACCCGAGCTGTGCCTGGGCTTGCAATGAAGTGTGGAGGGAGAGTGGAATTTGCTGAGCAGCAGCTGCCTAAGAGAGGGAAAGAACAAAAACACCAAGGATGAAATCGAAGCAGGAAGGACCCATCATCAAGGCCAACCTGGGATGGATGGACTTCCACACAGAATCCTCAGCTGTGTCTAGGCGGGTTGAGGAAATCTGGGCCCTGAAGTCCACACGTATGGAAGAGGCCTTTCAGCTCCCAGAATCCTCAGCCGTGACCAGCCTGGTTGAGGAATTCTGGGGGTTGAAGTCCACATCTGGAGAGCATCAAAGGCCACAGGCTTAAAGGGCCCTTCCCCGCAAACCTGGACCAAAATATCCCATACCTCCTCAACTTTTGTTGAATTTTTGAGTTAAAATTTGAGTTGAATTCTTGCTCAAAACATAACCCAAAGTTGATTGGTGGAGATGCAGGTCTTTACACAGGACACACACACACACACACACACACAGACACACACACACAAAGCAGCGACTTGCCTGTTGGTAGCCTTGTTGCTGAGGTATTGTCGGGGGAACAAGTCGTGGCTGGCTGGCAAACACATGTCCATCTAAATACAAGGGTGTGATGTGGTTACCTAGAATGGGTGGGAAAAGAAGCAGGAGGTTAATTTTGTCCCTACCGGATGACAGTTGAAGACTTTGCAAATCTTGGTCTACTTAAAGGTGCAAAGGACCCTCCCCAGTTTGAACATGGCAGCAGAACCAGGAGTCTCTCAGCCAAAGAATCTCGTCAAATGCCCTTTGACTGATTGCACGGCCAGGGGTTCAGTAGGATCCATTGGAAACATCATAGAGACTACAACAGGAAGCTTTCAATGTAGCTTGCACGAGCCCTTCTGTTATGCTATGTGGAAATCGTTATCTACGAATTCTTCCCACCCCTCTACAAGTCTCGAAGAAGGGACGACGCACCTGGGATCGAAGCCGAAGGCGCCACAGAGGCCACGGGCATCGGCGGGACAGAAACACCCCCAAAGGTGCTGTAGCTGACCCCACTGGAAGCCCCAATGCTGGATGTAGGCTGAATGCCCGAGCCAACACCTCCAGGGGAGCTCTGTTCAGGAAGGCTGGGGGAGTTTTCCCACGCCTTTCGGGCCGACTCCATCTGCAAGGGGGAGAAAGGAATTAGTACTGTAGCATCCAAAGGGCAGGTCGGAAAGGTGAGCACTATGATAACACTGCATTCCTGTAGGAGAAACTGGGGGTGGAGTTAAAAGATGAATCAGCCTAGAATCCCTACGTAGTCACAAGCGAACTAAGTCCCTTTGAATTCAATTGACCTTTATCTAATTCTTAGCAGGCGTTAACCATTATTAGCAGTAAAAGGAAACCAGGCCGCCAAAGAATACGGTGACTGGACACCATTCAAAGCTGACACCGGTCAGACCATAGAACAACTCAAAGGAGTAGTGAAAATGTGGGGAGACCTGGCCCACAGAATTGCAAAGAGTCGGACACGGCTAAATGGATATCGTTTCGTATTTCTTAACTGCCCATCTTCCTCAGAAAGGGAGGCGACAGTGGTCCATCATTGGCAGGGGCACCTGTCCATCATTGGCTGCAAGCAAAATGTCCCCCCACCCTTTTGTGATTTATTCCCATCCTCCAAAACTTACTTTGAGGGTCAGATCTGCCGTCGGATAAGACATGTTTAAGCTGATGCAACGGGGAAGTTGATGGTCTCTTCGAATAACAGGGAGGGACTGCGTGAGTCCAGGCTGTTGAGACATAAATGGGATAAAAATTAAAACATTGTTAGATTTAGCCATTTATGGAAAAAAAAGAGCCCCAGCTAATTGCCAGCAACTTATTGGTAGAAACCTAATATTACAGTCAAGCAGAATTAACAGTAAGTAAAGGAGTAGGCTGGGAGATAAGTTCTTAAAGAGACTGTGGAGCAACAAACACAGGAACTCACACAAACGCATACACAGATCACATTTTAAGCCATGTGTACATTTTCCTAATGACATGGAAGATCTGCACTTTATTTCCAAAAGGAGGAAGTAGAGAAGCTAAAGAAGAAGAAGAATATAATAAGAAAAGTTGAAAGAGAAAGGGAAAATAAAGAAGGAAGGGAAAAAAGAGAAGACGAAGAAGAAAATGGAGAGGAAAGAGAAAAATGAAAGAGAAGCAAAGGACGGGAAAGAGGTGGAGAAGCTGGGAAGCTGAAGATAAAGAAAATAGGAGAAATTGAAGAAGAAAACGGAGGGGAGAGAAGAAGAAAACACGAAGAAGAAAAAGAGGGAAAGAGAAGATGGGGACAAAAAAGAAAGGGAAGAAAGAGTAGAGAGGGTGTAGTGGAAGATGGTGAAGAAGAGAGCAGTAAAACGTGAAGGAAGAGAAAATGAAGAAGAGAGGGAAAAGATTTAGAAGCAGAAGAAGAAGAGTGGAGAAAAGCAGAACATCAACCACAAAATATTCTTACGTTGCTGGCCAGCACGTTGTGTAATTTCGCAACCGGGTTGGCTGGCGTGCCAGGAGCAGAGCCAGGAGGGAGACTGAAGTCTGAATCCTGCAACAAATTTGTCTCTTTTATCAAACCAACCCTCCACCTTGCAACTGGAAAGCAAGGGTGGTTAAATCTCCCAGAGGGAGGGGTGTGCGGAGCAAATGCACCTTTTGATTTGTGGGTCCTTCGCCCACCCGCTTACTCCTTAGGGAGCAAAAAGGCAGGGGAGGAGAATTGGGGAGGGGGCCGGACCCTCAATGAAACCGCGGAGAAGGGACGTGGGGCGGAGGAGAAAGCCAGAGAGAGGTCCAAGAAAAGGAAGAAGGGAGCGCAAACCATTCTCACTTTAGGATTCACTCCGAATTCAATGGGCGGCACAGGAAGAACCGGGTCCACGTGAATCTCCACCCCGTTGACGGGGGCCATGTTGCCCTCCAGGCGCTCGGCCCCTTCCGAGCCTTTCCGGTTCTTCAAGGAGCGCTCGTTCCCGATGGGCCCCGGTTTGTGGTCCTTGGCGGGAGCCAGGCCTTGTTCCGAATCCTGGGCAAGAAAACAGAGAGGCTGAGACGGAGGGAGGGAGGAAAAAGAGGGGATAGGAAAAAAGGGAAAGCGGGGAGAGAGGGGGTGGGAAAAGAAAAAGGAAGGAAGAGAGGAACGGGTGGAAAAAGAAGAGTGGGAAACACAAAAAAGGGAAGGGAGGGAGGGAGGGAGGGAGGGGAAAAGAGGAAAGGGAAGAGAGGCAGGGATAAAAGGAAGGAAGGAAGGAAGGAAGGGGAAAAGAGGAAAGGGAAGAGATGCAGGGATAAAAGGAAGGAAGGAAGGAAGGAAGGGGAAAAGAGGAAAGGGAAGAGATGCAGGGATAAAGAGGGAAGGAAGGAAGGAAGGAATAAAAGGAAATAAAGGAAGCCACTTTTTGCTTCATTGTTAAGACAGCCAACAGGCCAAAACAGGACCCCAGACGCAAAAGGTCATCCCTCCACACCTCCATTAGCTCTGCTTCCATCCTCAACTTCCATCTGTCCCCAATTTTACAGAAACACCTTTTGAATGCTCAAAAAACGGCACGGGGTTTTAGTGTCCTTTGGTTCAGATAGAGCTTCTACACTTACACGTATTTCTCTCCCCCCCCCCAAGAAAGCCGGCACTACACCTGACCCAGAGGGTCTTCCACCAGAGACCCAATAAGCCCAAGCCCCCTCCTCCTCAATGCCTCCCCCGCAACAACTAGAGCCAAACTCTGCTACACAGGACTAGGAACATGGTTACCTTTTTATCCAACTGCTTTGGAGCCGGTTCTTTCGGTCCGTCTCCCTTGGCCTCCCCCAGCCCACTTCCGCTCATCTCCTCCGGCTTGAGGGTGCCGTACGGAGAGCTGCGCTGGGAGGAGGTGGCCGAGGATTCCCGCGACTCCGCGCTCAAATCGATGCCGCTGTCCCCCTGGCTGCCTTTGAAGCCCTGCGGGAAAGCGAGCGGGCAGAGTGAGACCCCCCCAAAGCCACCTTCGCCTTAACCGGCTAAATTTAAAACGCCAACCCGTTTTCAACGGTTTACCATTTAAATCAAAAGCCAAAACTGAATTCTAAATCAAGATTTAAAAAGGGTTAAAATCTCTTTCCCGTGGAATTCCATTCTACAGGAAGTCCTCGACTTACAGGAATTCGTTTAGCGATTGTTCCAAGATACAAAGCAACTATATGACCGTTTTTTTCACACTTAACCATTGCACCATGGTCACGTGATCAAAATTCGGACGCTCAGCAACTGGCTCATATTTATGATGGTCACAGCATCCCAGGGGGGTCATGAGATCCCCCCTTTTGAGAACTTCTGACAAGCAAAGTCAACGGGGAAGCTGGATTCATTTAATGACCATGTTATTAACTTAACAACAGCAATGCTTCGCTCAACAATTGTGGCGAGAAAAGTCATAAAATGGGGAAAGAAAATCATGCTTTGGGGCTCATTTGTGGTTTTAAGTTGAGAACTATCTGCAGAAGCAAAATCTGAAAACGTCGTTATCTAATTTCTGGCCATTTTTTTTAATGGCTTTTAGCGAGTCGACTTGTGTGGTGGTGCTGCGAAAAGGGCAAAGGCGATCTCTGAGCCAATGAAGAATTAAGCTTCAAGGGTGCTGCTCTGATCGGCCGAGATCGGCTGAACAAGTCCCTCATGCCAATCGTTATGAACCCCCCAACTCTCCTTGCCATGGGAGAATGTCGGCTTGGGCGCCACTGACCTCCGCAGAGCTGGACTCGTTTCCGATAAAGGTGCCGATGGGCTTGTTCCAGGAATCGGGAGTGGAGGACTGAACGGACAGCGCTGTCGGGAAAGGAGAGACAGGAGGAGTTAAGATATTTCCTTATAGATGTTTCATTAACATCATCGCTGTTAGGAGGGAGATGTGTGTGGAGAGGAGGACGAGAAAGAGAAGGAGAAGGAGAAGAGGGAGAGGAGGGAGGAGAAGAAAGAAGAAAGGAGAAGAGAAGGAGGAGGAGGAGAAGAAGAAGAAGAAGAAGAAGAAGAAGAAGAAGAAGAAGAAGAAGAAGAAGAAGAAGAAGAAGAAGAAGAAGAAGAAGAAGAAGAAGAAGAAGAAGAAGAAGAAGAAGAAGAAGAAGGAGAAGAAGAAGAAGAAGAAGAAAGGAGGAAGGGGAGGAGAAGAGGGAGGAGGAGGAGGAGGAGGAGGAGGAGGAGGAGAAGAAGAAGAAGAAGAAGAAGAAGAAGAAGAAGAAGAAGAAGAAGAAGAAGAAGAAGAAGAAGAAGAAGAACAAGAACAAGAACAAGAAGAACAAGAACAAGAAGAACAAGAACAAGAAGAACAAGAAGAACAAGAAGAACAAGAAGAACAAGAAAAGAAGAAGAAGAAGAAGATGTTCCTTTATTGGCAATTAAAATCTTTCCAGCTGTTAAAATAGGAGGAGGAGATCGAGATCAATGGTGGGGTCCTTGGTACTCTCTGAGCTTTTCTTGCAGACGTTTCATAACCCATCAGAAAGATCTGATCCTCTGCACAGCGGCATCCGGGTTCAAATGCCAAACGGCAGGAAGAGCCCCTAACTTGGGTTCACCTGCGCTGTTGGTCTCCCAAATCTCCGTCCCCAAGGTGTTTCGCGGCACCGAGACGTCCCCTTGTTCAAGGCACAGGCTGTTCTGTTTCTTGGCAAAGCGAGGTGGGATGCGCGACTGAAGGAGGCGGCCTTTCGCCGGAGCCTATAAAATGAGAAAAGAAAGAAAAAAACAAAACGGCAAGAGTTAAGATTCTTCCCACATTTGGAGCAGCCGATTTCCTAAATCCTCCTGGTTCAGGGACCGACTTTCTCACCTGTGCGGCTTGTTCTTTCTTTCTCCGTTCCTCTTCCAGCAGCCGTCGCTGTTTCTTCGTCAGGACCTCGATGAAGCCTTCGCTGTTCATCTGCCCCACTTCGGAGTCCTCCCCGGGTCCCGGCCCACGGCTGTCCATCACACCATCTGCGCAATGGCACACAAGCATTTGGGCAAAGGCTTATTAGTTTTCCCTTTTCCCCAAAATAGGAAGAGGGGTGTGTGTGTGTGTGTTGGATACGTCCGCCACCTTATTTATAAAAATAAGAAAGGCCGGATGCAAGTAAACAAAATGATAAAGGAAAAATAATAATAACAAAGCACCGAAAGAACCTTGCAAGTTTCTTTCTGCGAAGGAGGACCGGTTTCTCCCCGGCACCCTTGGAGGGACTTACTTCCGTAGCTCAGCTCGAATGGACCCAAGGTCTCTCCCGCCTGGCTGGCTTGAGGGATTGAAGACTTAAGATCCTTCTCTTGCCTCTTCTCCAGGTTCTCGGCCCCATTCAGGTTGGAGTGAGACCCGTAAGCGGAACGGTTTCGTCCAGGACTGCCGTTGTCAAGGACGCCGTTTTCTTCCGGACATCTGCAAGAAACAGTGGACTGGTTTCCGATTCAATGCAACATTATTTTCATGGGCAGACTCCTGCAGAGAGCAGGAAATAGGCCAAAGAGCCAAGAAGCATTTTTAAAGTCCAAAACTACAACGTGGTATAGGGGGTCCTTGAGTTATGACTGTAATGGAGCCTGGCCGGTAGGGTTATAAATCATGACAACTGTAAATCGACAAGTTAGACCGGTGGTTCTCAACCTGAGCAACTTTTAAGATGGGTGAACTTCAACTCCCAGAATTCCCTAGTCAGAATTCTGGGGACTTCTGGGAGCTGAAGTCCACGCAATCTAAAGGTTGAGAGAGATTGGGCTGAACTATGAGGTCCACTCTGTATTAAAATACTGTCTCTGTTTACTGAAGGGGGACCCCATTGCTTCTCAACCTTAGTAACTTTGATATATGTGGACTTCAACTCCCAGAATTCCCTAGCCAGACTATGCTAGCTGGGGACTTCTGGGAGCTGACGTCCACGCAATCTAAAGGTTGAGAAAGATTGGACTGTGAGGCCCACTCCGTAATCAAATATTCTCTCTCTTTTCTTAAGGAGGACACCAGTGCTTCTCAATCTGAGCAACTTTAAGATGTGTGGACTTCAACTCCCAGAATTCCTCAGCTAGATCATGCTGGGCCGGGAATTCTGGGAGCTGAAGTCCACACCATCTCAAGGTTGAAAAAGACTGAGCTGGAGGACCATGAGGTCCACTCTGTATCCAAACACTGCCTCTCTTTTCTTAAGAAGGGGGAGACGATTACCTTTTGCCCTTCATCTGTAGCCCATTCTGCTGATTCTCATAGTAGGATGCTGGTCGGTTCCCACCAGCTCGTACGGCTTTCTCCCCAAATCCGATGGGGTCAGACTTCCGGCTTTGCCGATCTACCACAGGCCTCTGGCTGGAGAAACTCCTCTTGGCCAGGTCTCTCTTCTCCCCCAAGGTGCTCCCGGGTACCCCGCCATCCAACGGCGCCTCGTTCTCCGAGTTTCCCCCAGCGCTACCACCACCCCTCCTCTCCCGCCTCTCGCTGAAGTCGCTGCTTTCCGAGGCCGTCTCCCACTCTTCGTTGGCGTGATCCGAGGAATTCTGATAGGACAGTTCCGGAGATCTTTGGCTGGAGGAACCGTTATAGTCGGTCGCCATCAGTTGGGCTCTCCTGGGCCACTGGCAAGCGGCAACGTTGGCTCCACCCTCTTCGGGCGTCCACTGACCCACGGACTCGCGTTCCTGCCTCAAGCGCCTGAATCGGGGAGGTTTGTCTTGACGAGGCGGACGCCGCCGACGGAACGGACAGTTCTCCGCGTTTTCGGGATCACCTCCGTAGTCCTCTTCAAAGGCCCGTCGGCTAAACGAGTCCACAGGCTTGTAAGACTCTTGGCTGTAATCTCTCTCGGGTGGACGCCTGATGCCAAAGGCATCCAGAGGGGCGTTGTGGCCGTAGTCTTGCCAAGTATTTACACCATTCCTGCCCTGCCATTGGGAAGACTCCTTAGCAACGAATCCTCGTCGCCCATAAGTGGAGTTGCTCAATCTTGGGGGTAGCGATCGCCCAAAAGCTCGCGGGTTTCTCAACTTGGCATCCTGATCATCTGAATAGATCTTATTGGATCTCCAGGAGTCACGGAAATCCCCTTTCTTGAGGTCACCCTCTTCTCTTTCTGCCAGGGAACCTTCGTTATTATTCTCAGAGGTCCTCTGACGCCGGCGCTTTGGCAGTTCCTCGTACTCGGAGCCTTCGCTGTGTGTCTCGCTTGCAATCCGACGCCTGGGCTTTCCCCGCGGGAACTCCTCCACCTGGCTGAACTCTCTCAAGGCTCGCCCTCGGCTACTTCTTGGAGGACCACTGACGTTGCTGCTGTTGTAACCGCCTCTGAGATTCCCACTACCACCACCACTAGCAGGAGCCACACCTCCACACCCCACCGGGTTGCTCCGGCCTCGGAACGTGAATTCTCGGAAGCCGCGTCCACGGCCTCGTCCTTGCCCCCGTCCACCGAAGGCCTGTTCCTCATCAATGAAGATCCAGTTGTTTCTTTTAGTCAGGGGAAGCTCAGCAGACTCCCTTGACTGATTCTTGCCCTCCCAGTCCTTGACTAGCTTCTCGTTCTCTTTGCTATCATCCTCGTCGTTTTCGCGAGGTCTCTCGTCCTGGACAGGAGTTTGTGGGGAGCATTTTTCATCCCATGTGCGGTAGCGAGCAGAGTGGACAATCCCGCCAGGATTGGTCTCCTCTGACGCCTTCGGTGCAGGGGCCTTTTCCTTAACTGGCTGGGAAGTCTCTCTGCTCTCGACCTTCACTTTTTCCAGTTCTTTCTCCTTCTCTTCCACCTTGAGAGCCTTCAGGACCGGCTTCTTAATTGGACCAGATCGACGAGTTCTGCTCGTCTGCTCTTGCTGCTGTGGTGGTTGACTGTTGCCGTTTCGGTTCTCGGGGGTCGTCCATCCAGTTCCAGGGTTGGCTTGCTTACTGGCAGATCCTTCCTTCTTCCACATCTCAGAGCCAAACAACGAGTCCTCCTGGAACATCTCTTCTTTCCCTGAAGATGACTCTTCCAAGGTTTTGGAAAAATGGCTCATCTCCCAACCGTTGTATTCAGACTTTTTTTCATCCGGAATGGAACTGGACTCCAAGGGAGAATTCAACAGGCTCCTATCACAAGGATCAGAAAGGTCAGAGCCACACTCCGGGGGGTGAAAGATGCGTTCTTGGGGTGCCCTTTGAGCGGGACTGAGGCATCGGTCAAAATTTCCCTGGGGCTTCTTCTCAAAGGAGCTCAAGTAGTCTTCTCCAACTTCTTCGAAGAAGTCACGTTGGGTGTTTAGCCCTGATGGCGCAGAGTAAGAATTCTCAGCCCTGTAAAAAGGACCCCCAAAAGAAGGAATTCCATGTAAGGAGCTGGGGAGCAGGAAATACATACATACATATATACATATACATATATATATACATAGTATTTTATTTTGGCAGCAAGATCGCCAAAAAAAATAATTCGCTTCATGATTTACACTGTCGATTTATAAGGCAACACAACTGAACACTGATTCCAAACCATCTCCCAGCCAAAAAATAAAAATCAAGGAATAAAACTGATGGCAGCCCCATTATAGGTAGATTTGATTTAGCAAATGCCTCGTTTAGTGACCTTAGGCAGTCATGTAGAGATGAAAAAGTCCCTTCGTGAACAATCCTCATTTTTAATGACCTTTGCAGGTCTTTAAAGCAAAGGAAAGCTGAAGCAAGATAATAAGCAAGGGTGGTTTCACTTAGCAACTACTTCATTTAACGACCAGGTTTCCAATCCCCAACATGGTCATTAAATGAGGACTACTTATATTTAGCCTCTTAAACTCCATCTTGGTGGGCCTACACTTACCTGGAATGTAATCCTTCCTCTGTCCCACACTCTGCTTGCCTTGGCTGGGAAACAGAACTTCCCGGACCCCAGATGGAAGCAGCTTCCCCTTTTCTCTCCTGCAGCCCCAGAGATTGGCAGCTCTGCTCCTCCGATGGGCAGCTACCCCCATTCACGGAATCTGGTTGCATGGCCGGCTTCATAATCCCTAGTCGGGTTAGAGAGAGAAAATAGATCGTGCTCAACGATGCTTAATCGTAAGAAATAAGAGAGTCCATATTTAAATCCTTTCTCTGATGACACAGAAGCTGAGTCAATGCAAGCCAAGTCAAATCAAACCGGATTTTATTACAGTTTTAAAGCAGTACAGAAGCCGATGGATGGATGGGATAGGAGAGAGAGAGAGAGAGAGAGGAAGACATGGATGGATGGATGGATGGAGGATGGATTAATATATGAGATCGTGAAAGAGACACAGAGACGGAGACAGAGAGAGAGCACGTACTGATGGTTGAATAAAAGACATGAATGGGTGGATAGATGGACATCAAGGGATGGATAGGTGGATGGATGGATAGATGGAGGAAGGATGGATTAATATATGAGATCGTGAAAGGGACACAGAGATGGAGACAGAGAGAGAGCATGGACTGATGGTTGGATAAAAGACATGAATGGGTGGATAGATGTATAGATGGAGACAAGAGGACATCAAGGGATGGATAGGTGGATGGATGGATGAAATGCCTAGATAGACATAATGATGATAGGTAGATAAGATGGAGAGACAGAGATAGAAGACATGGATTGATGTATGGATGGACCAAAGATGGCTGGATTGATAAATGATAGAGATAGATAGATGCTAGATAAATATGCCCTATGAGATGAAGAGAGAGATAAGACTTGGATGGACAGAGTGATGGATGGGTGAGTGGGTAGATGAAGACATAAGTGGATGGATGGACATATAAGCCTTAATGAAAAAAAAGAAAAAAGACGAACAAAAAAAAAAAATAGGGAAAAATGAAAATAAAAGATTAGGAACAAATAGGAAATGTACAAGCATCGTACAATTAAAACTTTCTATATTTCATATACACTTTACCAGATGGATGAAGGGATGAAGGGTAGAAATCTACAGGGGGGCGTCCTGGAGTGACCCGAGGGTCCATGTAAGAAGGCATCATCAACCATCGAGGATCGAACCCCAACATCTGTGGGTGGGCCGGGTAGAAAGTCCGCGGAGGATGGGAAGAGGGTGGATAGACCTGGGAAGGTGGCCAGTTTTGCATTTTGTAGAGCTGGTCCTGAAAAGAAACATGGAAAAATAATTAACCAGCCATCGTAGCAATGCTGAGAATTCAGGCTGTCTGACCTCAGAGGCTGCTCAGCTCAACTGCAACTCACCAGTAGCTGTGTAAAACCCCCAAAGGACTGACAAAAACGGTACGAGAAAAGTTATTTGGTTATTGAAACAAACACCACGTTGTTTCTCTTACTTGTTGCTTTCTCTGGAATCGTGGCGGGAGCAGCTTAGGGAATTTGCCAAATTCCTGCATGGGGGAGACAGTTTCGCGCAGCTCCTCCTCGCTGCTACTCCGGAGAGCTGTTGAGGCAACTGTTGGGGTCTCCTCATCCACGTAACCAGAAGGGGATTCCTGGGTATGAGCTTCAGGGACCGCTAAGGAGGAGATAAAGGAGAAGGCAAAAACTGAAAGCTCCCTAAAACAACGGCCTTGCCAAGTAGGCCAGGCAGGAAACACAACAGATAAAGGTATTGTTTGCTTTCGGTTTGAAAGCGGCGACGGTCGTATCGTGGGCCGTTATGACGTGACCTCCATGAGTTGCAAAATGGGTCGTTAGGATGGCTCAGGATTTGATGAGCTGTTTTACAGCGGTCGCAAAGCGAGCACAACGGTCGTTAAGCGAACACTGTGGTCAGTAAGCAGACTAATTTTTCATTGCGGGACGTTTTTGCTGAAAACTGGAAGTAAATGTGGGGAGGGGGTGGTTATTTTTACAAAAACGTCATAAATCAGTCATGTGGCCGGTGGAGTCAAGCAAGTAATTAGCCTGGAGTTGCTGCCATCGATCCAAGCCGGATCCTTCTTAAATTCTGCTAAATCTTATCTAGTGCCGATTTAGTGACTAGACAAGCAAATAAATTATCTTAATTGGAGCTTAGTGAGCAGTCCTGACACAACGGGACCTACACTCCATATTTCATCGTGGCTTTTTTCTGGTTCATCGTGGCTTTTTTCTGGCTAAGAGGTTTGTGGTATCCGAGTTCTATCTGAACCATACACCGATCTGCATGTCCTTACCTCTCCGGGCTGCGTGGCCGTTCTCCGAGACGGTGTTCTTCTCCGAGGCCGAGGCTCGGGGTTCGTCACTCTCTGGGTGTTTGTGACCCTCTCCTGCTTTCTGAGCGAGCTTGCACTTCTGATCCAGCTCCTTCAGTTTCGCCGCACAGGCGGCCAGGCGCTCTTCCCGCGCTCTGCGCTCTTCCTCTTCCCGTCGCCGCCTGGCCCGCTCCACGGCTTCCGACATTTCCGAGTAGACAAACTTCTGCCTCAGGGGCAGGTTCTCTTCTTTCTCTTCCGAACACTGTTGCCGCAGACACGACAGCGGGGGTTTCTGCTCAGGAATTAAGAAGCCAACATCAAACCAGCATCACGACAAAAGGCGAGACGAGGATGCAGAAATCCACAAGCACTTCGAAATACCTGATATTCTGGAAGAGGGGTCCAGCCGTTCAGCTTCCTGGAGGTTGGCAGACTTTCCGACACTTTGTGCATGGACCGAGATAGGCTGGCTGAGTCGTTCCAAGTCTTGGGGTCCTCTGGGGGGTGCCTGGCATCGGTGTTTTCTGCCGAGCTCAACAGAGGCAGCCTTCGGGGATCCCAGCTGTTCCTGCCAATGGAGGCATGGAGCCCTTTTTAATGATTTATTTGTATCTCACTGGTATATTTTATAAGCACACCTAATACTTCTTCCTCCACCTATTTTTCCCACAACAACCCTATGAGGTGGGCTGGGCTTAGAGGGAGTCACCCAGCTAAGGTGCCTAAGGTGGTACTAGAACTCCCAAGGTCACCCAGCTTGCTTTCACTAGAACTTTCCATCTCCTGGTGATTATCCCAAAGTCACCCAACTGGCTTTCATGCCAGAAGTGAGACTAGAACTCACTGACTCCTAGTGATGGGCCCAAAGTCACCCAGCTAGCTTTCACACCTAAGGCAGGACTAGAATGCACCGTCTCCTGGTGATTGGCCCAAAGTCACCCAGACTTTTTTTTTCTACACGAGACACGGTAATCCACGACACGTGGATCTCTTTCCATTTACCATTTCTGCCTTCCATCCTTGGGGTTTTCTTCCTCTTCCTCATCCTCGCTAAACTTCAGTTTTTCGGAATAATCGACTTCGTCGTGAATTCCTAAGAAAGCAAAGGACCGAACGAGGAGAAACAAATCCAACGGTCAGTGTTAATTCATTGTGGACTTACCCACCAAACAAGGAATCTGTCTGTTGTCTCTTTTGCAGAAAACTAAAACCAAAAGCTATTGGTTTCTAAGTCTAGTCTAATTTAGCCTAGCTTAGCGTTGAGCCTAAATCTAAACCTGACCAAATACCATTTGTTTCTAAGTCAAGTCAAGTCAAGTCAAGTCAAGTCTAGTCTAGTCTAGTCTAGTCTAGTCTAGTCTAGTCTAGTCTAGTCTAGTCTAGTCTAGTCTAGTCTAGTCTAGTCTAGTCTAGTCTAGTCTAGTCTAGTCTAGTCTAGTCTAGTCTAGTCTAGTCTAGCTGTAAGCCTAAAACTAACCCCAAAGCCACTGGTTTCCAAGTGCAGCACAGCTAATCCTAATCCTGACTCTAAGACTAATTCCTGACTTTAGCCAAAGGTCATTCATTTTTAAGTCTAGCCTAGGGTCTAGTCTAGAGTCCATAGAACATGACCCCAATGTGGGCATGGAGGCGCTTACCTGCCCATCCGTCCTCCGTGTCATTGTCCAGTTCATCCAGACCTTTCAGGTTCTCTGCATTGATGATGGTCGGTCTGGGGACTCGCTCCCCTGGCGGTCGGACCGGACGAGCTGGCCGTGGAACCCCAAGTCGCTTTTCTTTTCTATCAACCGAGAGAATTTGGGAAACCATTTTGGTGGACAAAAGGGAGAGTGCAAAACCTCTAGGTTGGGACCACAAGCAGCAGAGGCCAAGACGTTGTTCAGCGTTATCTCCAAGAAAGACCTCAAGATCTTTGGCCATCCCCGTTGACTCTGCTTGTCAGACGGTGGCAAAGGGGGACCACGTGACCCCGGGACACCGCAACCGTCATAAATACGAGTCAGTTGTCAAAAGCCTGTTTTGAGCACGTGACCTTGAGGACGATGCAACGTCAAAAACGGCCACAAGTCATTTTTTTTTCCAGTGGCGTTGTAACTTCGAACTGTCACTAAACAAACCGTGCCTCTTTTGCACTAACACAACACACAACTGCAGGATGTGAAAAGCCCTCGCTCCAAGACTGCAAAAAGTTCTTAGGAACAGTACTTGGAAGTTTCAAACGAGACACCCCAGCAATCAGCGCGGCCGAGTTGACAAAAATCTCGTACAACGCTATAGTGTCTGTCGACTTACCCGTCTTGGTCAGTGGGCTGATGTTGTCTGAAGGGGACGCGGGGTTCCAGGCAGAAGGAGGGGAGAGGAAAGGATGCCCGTTCTGGCAAGCTGGGGGTCTCGGCTGGTGGATTTGAACACATCTGAGATGGGAGGGGGGGAAGATATAAAAACAAGGGTTAGAAACGGTTAAGCCCTCCATTTTCTTTCTTTTCTGGGAAGACCACATTCAGGGTGTTCAATCTTATAGACAACCTTCTTTAGAATTAATATACAGTATATTAATATATATTAGAATTAATATATATTAATCTATATATAGTATTTTTGTGAAATATAGATGGGAAAGATTGTAACTTGTTTGCGAACCTGCTGTGTAAGGAGAAGAGAATACATTGGATTTTTGAGGTAGAGGGTGTCCTTGATTTACAATAGTTTATTTAGCGAAGTTACAACGACACTGAAGTGACTTATGACCATTTTTCACGCTTATGACCGTTGCAGCACCTCCTTGGCCACGTGATTTAACTTCGGACGCTTGACAACTGACCCGGGGACACTGCGACCGTCGTAATGACAAGTTAGTTGCCAAGCGGCTGAATTTTGATCACGTGACCACCAGGATGCTGGAAGGATCACTAAATAAACTGTTGTAATTCGAGGACTGCCTGTATTTAACCTGTAGAAACCCCGCAGACGGCTTCCAGCCCTTTATACTGCGGCGGATCAATTGTGAAGGCGTTCAAGAACTTACGAAGGCGGGCAGCATGTCGTGGTAAGTGGGTGGCTGGTACGTGTTGGCCATAAACTGAGACGGTCCTTTGCGAGGAGGCAGAGAAGGACAGGGAGACGGCTCCTTCGGATTGGCACCGCTCGCTGAGGCCGGAGCATCCTCTCCTGCACTGGAGCTCTTGGTAGCCAGCTCAGTTGGGAAGGGGGACAAAGAGGTGGACGAGGTGCTGTTTCTACCACCACCTTCCCTCCAACTTGTGACATCTGAGAGGGAGGGAGGAAGGAAGGGAGAGAGGGAGAGAAAGAAAGAAAGAAAGAAAGAAAGAAAGAAAGAAAGAAAGAAAGAAAGAAAGAAAGAAAGAAAGAAAGAAAGAAAGAAAGAGAAAGGAAAGGAGGGAGAGCAAAGAAAGAAAGAAAGAAAGAAAGAAAGAAAGAAAGAAAGAAAGAAAGAAAGAAAGAAAGAAAGAAAGAAAGAAAGGAAAGGAAAGGAAGGAGAGAGGAAGGGAAGGGAAGGAGAAGGAAGGAAGGAAGGGAAGGGAAGGAGAAGGAAGGAAGGAAGGAAAAAGAAAGGCAAGCAGTAAAAAAAAGAGAAAAAAGACCTAACATTTAAAACTCTGGCGTGCTCAAAACGTCCCTAAACAAATCCACATGGGGAGCTAAACATAGAAAAGAATTTCGGTTTGGATCAGCTTTTGTTCTGTGAGTGATTTTTTCCCCCTCTCCTTTTCATCAGCCTGGAAAGAGGATTAAGACATTGACTTTAATGGGGAAGAAGGGAAGGAAGCAGCAGGCTAAAAAAAGAAAGATGCTTTTTTTGGGGGGGGGAGGGAGGTCCGTCCCACAAAGAAACGGTTGACAGACTGATAAAAGAATGTGTGGAATGCTGAAATGGGTCTTTGGTCTGAGTTCTGAAAAACGGAACCGCCTTGGGAAAACCGAAACGGTTATCCGAGACTTGAAAGAGGGTGTTTGGAATCCAAACAATCCAAAGTTTTTGTAGTCTACTGGGATGGAAACCAAGGCCCACCAAGAACTGGATGGGTCCTTTCTTGGAGACAAAACTGGATGCTGACCCAGAATTATTTGGACCCCCAGAGAAAGCTAACATGGAAGCAGAGTTTCTCAAAACCTCTGGAGGAATCTTCTTTCCACCCCTGGCTTCTCATCCTACTCTCCGATGATTTGGAGAATAGGCTGACCCCCTCCTCTTTGGGGCAGCCCCTCCGTTTTAGTTGTTGAGAACTCTAGTTAACTCCCCAGAAACTATGATTACAATACTATCAGTTGCTGACCGCACCGGAAATTTAGCTTAAGTCTTGTGTATTGGGGGTTTTAAACCCCACCCACCCCCCATTCCACCAATTTGGTCCAGCTCTGGATAAAGTTTCTCCAAGCTTGGTTATCACTCGCTTCCACATGTTCCTGTCCAAGCCACAGCCAAGTCTTCTCTGGTCCCTGGACCAAGTTCCATCTCCATCACCTAGCAACAAGCCTTGGATACCACCTCCATCGACATGGCAACAAAACAATCATACATCTTTTCCCACCGGAGCTTGGGCTTCTGTAGAAATGAACCCAAGTGGATTCCGGGAGCATTTGTTTCTTTTTTTTCCTTCATCTAAAAAGGCACAATTCTCAATATGGATAGAAAATATGTGCCTGGGGAGACACATATTTTGCAAACTGCAAAACTTAGCATGAGATGATCATCGTTAAGACCACAGATCGTGGGCTATTCAGGCTTGGAACTCATGACTAGTTGAGGGATGAGACACCTGCCAGAAGAGCTGCTACTGTATATATAAACAGGGAGCAAGCCACACTCAGTGGCACTGTTGTTGTCACCTAGCTGGGTAATGAAACGTTTGCAAGAAGGCCACCAAGCTCAGAGTTACCATACATAAAGAGGGAGGGAGCCACACTAACACTGATGATGTTATCTAGCTGGGTAATGAAACGTCTGCAAGTAAACAACCAAGTTCAGAGCTACTGTATATAAAGAGTGTGTGAGCCACACTCACTAGCACTGGTGACGTTCCCTAGTTGGGTGATGAAATGTCTGTAAAAAAGCAACTAAGCTCGGAGAGTGCCAAGGATTCCACTCTCCAACCTATTTACTCTTCTATGAGTAAATTACTTGCAATTCAACAGTGAAGCTGAAGTGGGAAGCGCTGGGGAGAAGACTTTGGAGCTTATTTCATCATCAAAAGGGCTAAGGACCCCCCCCCCACTCCCGTCACACAAATACACACGTGGCATTTTCCAGGGAGTTAACATACTCTGGGGGCGGAGGCTTGGTCCGGGCCCATACGACGGATCTAAGACGCCCTTTTCTTTTCCAGACCTGTCCTGCTCTCCAGCTGCTTTCAACGTTGGAAAATCCTCGGGAGAGAAGGATAACAGTCGGTTTGAGACCCTTGAACCTGCAGGAGAGAGAAAGGGATCAGGCTGGTGCCATCCACAAGGCTCATCCTTCCAGCCTGGGAGCGGAAAGACAGGCCTGCCCAAGCACACCTCGCCCGCCCACGGGCGATACCCACCACCTTCTGATCTGGCTGGCTTTCCATTCAGCTGCGCCCATGATTTTATACCACCTGGTGCTGAACTTGTATTCTGCGGAGAAATGAAGAAAAAAAATAGGAGCATTTGCTGGCAGTCCTTATTTATTTATTTATTTATTAAATTTATATACCGCCCTATCTCCCTTACGGGACTCAGGGCGGTGAACAGGCGATACTAAAAACCACGATAATAAATAAATAGTTTCTGTTCTAAAATTGAATTAAATAACAGGCCTGTTCTAAAAACACACCATACAAAAACCCCCACTGAAACATTATCAAACTACGCCAGGCCGGCCGCACGGAATAGATGGGCCTTCAGGGCTCGGCGAAAAAGGCACGGCCTTTTTTGACTCCAAAATTTCCACCGCAGCCTTCCTGGCCCCAGCTCTCTATCCGACAGCTGTCTTCGACCTACCCACCTCCTGGCTGATGGACGGGGTCCGCTTCTGTAAATTGGAGACAGATTTCTGCAAATCCTGCTGCGGCAGCGATTCCTGCGGCTGTGCGGCTGTGCAACTGGAACTGACACACAAAGGGAAGGAGAGAATGACCCAACTGCCCAAAGACCCGGATGGGTTCAGAGGCCATAGTCGCAAATCGGGGTGGGTTGTTGTTTTTTTGGGTCATCTCAAAAAGCTAAAAAAAAGTTGGATTATGCCCACAAGGGCTACAAAAGTGGATGGGAGTCAGCAGAGATGGCTATAAAATGAGTGCTTTAATCAAGGAAAGAGACGCAATTAATTTTGTTTCTACTTGCAAACACCGCTTCTGGTGTGGGTGTGGGGGGGAAATGACTAAACTTCAGATTGTTTTTGGGATGAAGGAGGAAGTTACTTCTTCTGTTTTTTCCCCCCTTTCTTATTTTCTTTTATACTTTTTTTTTTTTTTTGCATTTATTTATTTATTTATTTATTAAATTTATATACCGCCCTATCTCCCTTACGGGACTCAGGGCGGTGAACAGGCGATACTAAAAACCACGATAATAAATAAAGTATTTCTATACTCCTTGCAGTTTGCATGTTTGTTTTTCTTCTTTTGACTTGAAATTCTTAATCAAACTATTTTAGGGGAGAGAGAAAAAAAAAAGCGGGGAAAAGATTCTGTGGCCGTAACCTCCCCTAACAACATCCGCTCCTGAAGCGTCTCCACTCCTGACCTGGCCTACCTCGCAGGGCTGTTCCTTCCAAAGCAGGAAGGGCTCACCTCTTTTGCTCTGGAGGGTCCTGCTTGTTTACCCATCCTGTTCCGTCCTTGGGCACGATGATGATATTGGGGTTGTTTCCTTTATGCTCCGATTTCAGACTTGGCAAGTTGGCCGGGGGGGGCATTCGCCGCGCAGACGCAACTTTCCCGAGACTCTGCAACCCATGTCGAGGAATAACTAGCAAGAATGGAACAGAACAGCGTCACAGAGTGGGGAGGGACCTGGGAGGTCTTCTAGCCCAACCCCTTTATACAGTGACGTTTCAGACAGAGAGAGAGCACGGCAATGATCCATCCGGACCCATTGTTGTTATTGATTTATTAAATTTGTATCTCCCCCACAAGGTGGACTCTGGGCAGCCGATACATTTCAGGTAGTCCTCGGCTTACGACCACAAGTCAATGGGGGAAGATCCACTTAACAACCGTGTCACTAACTTAAGAACTGAGATGATTCAATGGACAACTGTGGCAAGGAATGTTGCAAAACGGGGCAAAAATTCACTTCGCAAATGTCTCACTGAGTCAGAAATTTTTGGGTTCCGTTGTGGTCATAAGTCGAGGACTGCCTGTGTTTATAAGAAAGTTGGAGAAACATGTCCTCCTCACAAACACACTCAGCTTCATCCCAAGTACAACCCAGTCAGATCTGCTGCACCCAAAAGCATTAAAAAAAATTTTTAAATCTCCAGCAGGATCACCTGGTGGTGCCCCATCCATCTCATAACCAGCTTCCCTTCCAAATCCAGATTGGCAGGGGCAAATAATATCAAAAGACGGCTGATTTAAATGCACAATCTCCTCCCACCCACCCACTCACCCCCACCCCCACCCCCCCGAGTTCCCAGTCCTTTCCAGGCTGCTGCTTACTGGTGCTTCTGACTGTTTCTACTGACTTTCCTTTATATTTATCAAACAGGCTGAGGGTCGTGTACTTGGTTTTCCCATCCTTTCCTTTGATTGTTGGCCCCGAACGATCGGACATCTCGATGAAATGTCATCGAGTAAGGAAATTTCTCTGCACCGCTCCTGATCTGCCTGCAGGGAAGAAAAAGTGAGAAAAATAAATATGATGGATGGATGGATGGATGGATGGAAGGAAGGAAGGAAGGAAGGAAGGAAAAGAAGGGAGGGAGGGAGGAGAGAAGGAAGGAAGGAAAAGAAGGAAGGAAGGAAGGAAAAGAAGGGAGGGAGGGAGGAGAGAAGGAAGGAGAGAAGGAAGGAAGGAAGGAAGGAAGGAAGGAA